AGTGTGTCACTGATGTTCTTACCACATTTTGATGTCTTCTGTGATCTTTTACTGAACAAGCACATGGCAACATGGAATCAGTTTTAACCAGTGGAGAAACTAAGAAGTGTTTTAATAGGCCCATTCGATCAAAAGTAAGAACTAATCAAAATGCGAGAATAATTTGACTTACATAATTTAGATTATATGGACACCTGAAGCAAAACTGTCAATGGTTAAAGTTCTATTGGTTCTAAAGTTAAATAGATCAGTCTGGGGGTTATGAGACAATACTAAAACAAACATTGTGTTCCCAGGGTAATATTATAATTGTTAAATGGGAATTGGCTGAACCAGATAGCTATGTTTTTTTAGGTCCGCACTTGTGTGCTTCAATTTAACTTGATATATTAGGCAAATGAAACAGTTTGACCTTTAAAACTAATGTTGTTTTTTGTTTGATCAAGGGATCTGCAACACTGGGAAGATAAGAGGAGAGGGATTGGGACTAATACATGAAGACCCGTAACAATTTCTGGAGACTTGAATTAAGCATCGTATCTTAATGATCACTGAGCTTGACTATCAAACAGCAGTATGGTAAGTGCATATATTGGCCAGTGATCACAGAGGTTACTGGGAACATTTCAGTTCTAGATGTACAATATGACAAAAAATATTAGTCTAACATCAGAATCACACTAACAAGATATTATCTAAGAAACATGTTTAGGAACTTGGACGATTTGCATGTACCAAATGGACCTTTTGAACAAGAAATATGTGTATAATGAAAAAACTGGCCCAGATTGGGATTGGTTCTACCCAGCAAATTCTCTTTCTGAATTTTTTGATTGGTGAAGCAAANCAAATGGACCTTTTGAACAAGAAATATGTGTATAATGAAAAAACTGGCCCAGATTGGGATTGGTTCTACCCAGCAAATTCTCTTTCTGAATTTTTTGATTGGTGAAGCAAAGAATTGGTCACACACACGCACAAACACACAAAAAAACAAGTTACAAGATAAGACTCCTTTTTTGGAGCCTGGACTGTCTGCATGTGCTGAATGGATCTTGAGCTTTGTACAAGAAGATGGGTGTGAGAACTGACCTGTAAAAGGGTGGTTCCACCCAGCAAATTCTCTTCCTGAGTTTTTTGATCTGTGAGGCAGAGACGGTGAAAAAGGTGAAAAATTAGGGCTTGTTTTGGAACCTGGACTGTCTTCATAGGGTGAATGGATCTTGAGCTTTGAACAAGAGATGGGTGTAAGAACCGACTTATAAAAGGGTTGGTTCCACCTAAATTCTCTTGGACCTCACTTTCTTGATCTGTGACGTAGAGGCTTGGTCACACAAAAAAGGTGAAAAATGAGAACTTGTTTCAGAACCTGGACTGTCTGCATGTGCTGAATGGATCAGTTGAGCTTTGTACAAGAGATTTCTTGGGTAAAAGAACTGACCTGTAAAAGGGTTGGTTCCACCCAGCAAATTCTCTTCCTGAGTTTCGTGATCTGTTAGGCCCAGACTTGGTCCCATAAGAAACAGGTGAAAAATAAGAACTTGTATTGGAGCCTGGACTGTCTTCATGCACTGAATGGATCTTGAGCTTTGTACAGGAGATGGGTGTAAAGACTGATCTGTAAAAGGGTTGGTTTCACCCAGCAAATTCTCTTCCTGAGTTTCTTGATCTGTGATGCAAAGACTTGGTCCCACAAAAAAGATACAAAATAAGGACTTGTTTTGGAACCTGGACTACCGAATGGATTTGGGCTTTTTGCAAGAGATGGGTGTAAGAACTGACTTGTAAAAGGGTTGATTCCACCCAGCAAATTCAGATTCTGTGAAGAGCCCAAAGATCGTCTACGTGGGAGGTTAGAACAGAAATGTAGTTACCCATTTATACTCCTAGGCTGAGACAGCCACTTTCTGAGAGTAAAGTGTCTTACCAGAGTACACTGGCCAGGTTCCTTGGGTTAGGAACCAGTTAGCACACCATGCCAGCCATAGATCCTTTGCGTAAATGGCGCCTAAATTTGAATGACAATTGTTTATACATCCTTAGCCTCGTACTCATGTTTCAAGACAAAGGATTTTTTTACATGAATGTGAGGCTAAGGATGTATAAGCATTGTTATTTAAATGTGGGCGCCATTTATGCAAAGGGTCTATTAATCATTTGATCTTAATCTTTCTGGTCTTTCTCTTTGTCAGGTGGAGACAAATCAGGACAAAGCAAGAAGAGGATGAACACATTCACCATCATTCAAGATGGATGATTTTATCGCAGTCCAGGAACCAGGTAAACACGTGTTCTTATGCACAAAACGTAAGCTGGCTCAGATTCTCAATTATCCTCCTGAAGTTGGATATGAGCGCAGTCTTGACAACTAGCACAGCTTTCTAAATTCCATACTATTTTTAGATTAATCTACATTGAAAGGAGTT